ACTAGTGATAATAAATGTAAGTTTTGTTTATGCTTATGTTTCTGTATTGACGATGACATCCCAAATGTTTTAAAATGAATATAAATACTTTTCTTCGGAAATTCTTTGATAACGTATTTATCATATTTTACTGGGAACAAAATCCGCAACATTTTTATTAAAAGAGGTACTTTGATTTTTATAAAGCATAAACAAAAATCGGTCTTTTCTAACCGTGAAAATGGGAATGTCACAAAAACTCACCTTAGAATTGAACACTAGTTGATGAGGTCCTAACTCTAAACTCAGCTCAAACTGATACCTAATCATCAAAATAACCAATTCTTAGGCATGATCCAAAATACCTAAAATACCCTTGAGTCAAACTTGGTCAAAGTCAGGGTCTAACTAGTCAAAATCCATAAGTCAACAGGTTCAACCCAACCAAGCCAAACCAGCTAAGTCAACTCAACAAGCGTACGTGGGGCGTACTATGAAGGTACATTGGTGTACTCCTCCGTTGATAATATCGGGGTCGTTGACCACGTACGATGGGTGTAATCCCAGGTATACTCACCATAACCCCAATATTCTTCTTTTTCCCTTTAAATGCTCAATATAACGAATTAATATGTCAAAATGCAGATCTAAGGTCAAAATATCATTGGGAGTCAAAAACTTTCCAACTTTATGACCTTGCATGCTCGATAAGTGCTTAATCCATACAAATCCAACATCTTAATGCCTTAAAGACTCTCAATAACATGCATGGGACAAAACCAACCCTAACGAATCCATTTTTATGACTTAAATCCTCTACTAAGGTTTTAAAATACAACTTAACGAATCAAGAACATGCCATGCTCAAGATCTAACATTTTGGGACAACAAAGTGTCATTAAGACATCCAAATCTAGATCTATATGATAGAGGGATAAAGTTCTAAGCTTTGTACCTTCAAAAGGTTGCAAATGTGGTAGAAATCCTAGATCCAAAGTGCTTCACTCCTCTAAGATGAGCTTTACTTCCTTCCTTCTTCTTCAAGGCACAAAAACACACACTCTTAAACTTGGAATTGCTTCACAAAGTGAATTAGGGTTGCAAAACGTTCTAAGGGTATCGAGGTTGATGATGTGAGGGGAAATAAGGCTGTAATGGGGTTTAAATACAAGCCAAACCCAACAACATTAGGGTTTCTTAATCTGGAAAGTACGCTCCGAGTACGAGTTGTCCGCCCAGTGTACTAGGGCATGTCCCAGTATGCTCCGTGTACATACGTACGCTTGGCATACCCCCTCACGATTGAGTTTGTGTAAATGCCATTAGGTTCCTTTTTACACTCTTTCTTGAACTTTGGGACCAAAATGCAATATAATTAAACTTATAGGGTTAAAATTAGAAGTACCTCATCATCAGAATATTACAAAAACCATTGTATTAATATCAGTATGTTTTCTTTTTAATTTTAAATTATACGGTATTTAATCAAATATATATTATTATTTTTAAGAATTATGGTTTCTTAATCTGGAAAGTACGCTCCGTGTACGAGTTGTACGCCCAGCGTACTAGGGCACGCCCCAGTACGCTCAGCGTACATACGTACGCTTGGCATACTCCCTCACGGCTGAATTTGTGTAAATGCCATTAGGTTCCTTTTTACGCTCTTTCTTGAACTTTGGGACCAAAATGCAATATAATTAAACTTATAAGGTTAAAATTAGAAGTACCTCATCATCAAAATGTTATAAAAACCGTTGTATTAATATTAGTATGTTTTCTTTTTAATTTTAAACTATAAGGTATTTAATCAAATATATATGATTATTTTTAAGTATAGGATTATATATATATATATATATATATATTATATATATATATATATATATATATATATATATATATATTCATTTGAGACCATGATAATTTTGTGACACATGAGGATGCGACCCTAGCCATTCATTTTGGAGATCAAAAAAATATACAAAAAAATATATTTCTAAAATTGAATATAAATGAAAATATTTGAATTTTTTCAATTACTTGTTTCATCATTTAATTTCTCCAAAAAAATAATAATTAATTAATGTTTTTTTAAATATACGTGCAAGAGTCTAATATAATATTACACTATAATTATTAAAACATAATTGTTTGAATATTCAAATATTCAAGTAGAATATTAGACTATAAATATTCAAATAGTTTTAGTAGAATATTAGATTATTGTAATAATTTTAACAATTATATTTGAATATTTACAGTGTAATATTCTACTATAATATTTCACGTATATTTTAAAAAATGGTAATTTTTTATTTGTTTATTTTATTTATTTATTTATTTATTGGATAAATTAAATTACAAATATATATATATATATATATATATTCAGATTTTCCCTTTTTGTTTTGTATTTTAGATTTTTTTTTATCTTCAAGATGAATAATTAGGATTATGTCCCCATATATTACAAAATTAGCATGGTCTCAAAAGGTGATTATGTTAGTTTGTATTTTTTATATTAGAAATTTTATTATTAACACATGATATCTATTCAGCTTTCTGATTTATATTTAATTTTTGGATATCTAAATTAGATTTAAAGTTTTGAAGCTCGTGTGATATGTTAATATTTTTTACCATTTCTTTTACTCATGCACAATGCATAGGTATATGCCTAGTAAACTTATAAAGAGGTCATCCAAATCAATATGGGTAAAGATAAATTATATATCTCACATCATATTCATTTGAAACTTTTGTATTTTCAACATATACTAATTTAATGTGTGGTTAAGTGAAGTATTTTTCCTATATAAGAACATTATTTGTGTGTTTTGTTACTCATAGTTTCCTTTATTCTCTTTATTTTATTGTTATTGAGAGTGCATTAAAACGAAAAAGAAGTAGCATATAAGTATTAAGCCCTAACCAGCTGATTGAAGACAAAAAATATCTAAAACCCTCTAAGTATTAAGACCTAGCCATAAGATTCAAGGTGTCGAAAGGCTAAAAGCGATTCTGGTTATTTTTCTATGTTTTAATTTATATCTACATCTTTTTTCCCATCTACTTTCTTTAAGTTTATTGAACATCTATGCACTTAGTTTGCAATATATATGATTAGAATAATATGACAACATAAGGTGGTGCCGATTGTTAGTGTAATACAAAAGGGGTGTAAATAAATCAGTGTCGGAGGCTCATAGGGGCCATGCCTACCATTGCTCCGGTCAAGATCCATCATTGCCAGCAACTCTTTTTTTATCTAAAATTTCAGTTTACTAGGTTCCTATTTTTTAATACTTTCATTTTCTATCATGTTATTAATTTTTTCATGTCAAGATCCTCCATTTTCTGAGCTTTTTTTTTTTTTTTTCACTTTTCTTCTTTGATTATATTTTTCTAACCACGACATTTGAACAAAACACTGAAGCGTATCTTCGATGTTGTAGATATAGAGAAGATTCAAACCCATGCAAATGATCAGGTTGTGTTGTTGGAGCCGATGAAGGCACCGACTCCCTTGTGTTGCTTGAGCCGGTGAAGGCTATTCCGGGTGAACTTGTGCATCTATGGTGTCACTACTCATCGATATTCCCATAAAAATAACAAAGACAAATATAGTATGAAGAAAACGATTATAAATGCGATGTGAACTAAAGTAGTTGGTTCGAAGTGTTTTAGACATGGTATTACAACCCCAAATTTGGTGTTATACAATTCCTCAATGCCTCAACAAATGATGCAAAAAATGAGATTTGCTATTTGGTTGCAGATCGATGCCCTTAGGTTTAATTTTACGTGTTATGTTGAATTATGATCGATGCAAGAGTTTGACATAAATAATAATAACAACTTCGGTGTTTATTAATTAAAATTTGTATGTGTTCATGGTTTTATGAATTTGAGTTTACAAGAATTTAAAATTTACGAAGAAAATAGAGGTTGAAGTAAGATGGCAAAATGACTAAAATGCCCATTCATGAAAAAGGTTAATCAGACAAATCTAACAAGTAACAACTATGAGTTAGGTGTCATAAACGTGTGTTATTTTGTTTTCAAGAATGATCGGTATAATTCAATTCTTTCAGAGACGATCCATAATGTTTTAATTGTAATTCACTCAAAACTTTAGCATAACGTTTACAAGTGACCATGTGCTCTTCATAGGAATAGGAAGGATTTCAGGTTAAAGTTGTTAATTAAAACATGTAAACCTAAAGAAACCTAAAGAAGCATGATCATATACCTATTCAAAAACCATGGTGCAAGTTAATAATAACACATATACCTAAAGAACCATGATTATATATCGTTCGCATACGGTATTGACAATTATAATCTAAGTCACATGATGCTGGCCACAGTCTGACAGTCTCCCCCACTTAAAACCAAACATTATCATTTAATAAATCCAAAATAAATCCAAAATCAGTACTCCGTAAGTTACTCCTAACGGATCCAAAATCAATACTGCCTAACTTCCTAAGGGATGCATGAGGCTAAGCCAATGGCACCTCGAAGGGTCACCGCTAACAAAACTGGATCTTTTAGTGTTGAATGACTTAAATATATCAATATGTTCACAAAAGTTTGGGTTCCTTAGTAGTTTGTAGGCTGTTCGGAGGATTTTGATTTGTCGGGTGGTCATTCAGAGCCTGTATTAAACAAACTGAATTCTAACGTATTAGATGACATATGTGTCATCTGAATGGTTGCACTCAAAGTTTGTCTAAGAGCTCCTAACTGTTTCGTCCAAGTCCAAAGTAGCATACTAATGCAATATTGTCTGTTTGGAAACCAAACTCATAAGGAAGCACTTAGCATTAAGATTACTAGCCATACTTTTATTACAAAAAGACACAAACCGAACCCACACAAATTGTTTCAAGTAGGCCAAATTTGTAAGTATCAACTTTTCAAAAAAAAAAAAATCCTTGTATGATACACGAATTTAAGTGAAAATAGGGAGAAAAATAAGAATAACAAGATGGGAACGAGAGAGAAATTATGAA